AAACTTCATAGCTACAGGTCCTGAGGCATAGAAATAAAAATAGCCCTGCAGGTTGTAATAATACATATCACCTGGCTGGGAAAAAATTACTGAACACAAACCGCTGCAGGTGTACAAAGATTCAACTGAAAACCAAATTAAATGTCTTACTGGTGTCTTCCCCTACCACTGCACAAGCTGTTCAGACGCCATAAACCATGATTTGCAATAGCAGTTCCTCACCAGTTTACACGACTGCTGCTTGGAGCAGTTAGGATTAAAGTTGGGGAGCGAGGCTATGCTTGACTTAGGGCTAAGCACTACATGGGAGCATTCAAGAGGTAAATATAGATGAACTGTGAATTAATGGTGACAACAGCTTAATCAAATTTAACATGAGAGGCAGAGGAACGCTGCCAGAAGCTGTCAGTGTGACACTCTAAAAGGGGCTTAAATAAATCAACCAGTCAAAGCCCATCCTATGCTGAAATAATTCCATCTCCCAAAGCAGGAAAATAAGGCATATAATTCAAAGCACAGAGACTCTGGATATCCCCAAACTAAACTGAAGAATTAAACCAGTATTGTTAAATGGGTGAAAGCAAGGATATTTTCAAGTCAAATATGGAAGAATTGGAAAATAAGTTTTTTGTGAGAAGGATAACACCCCCCTCAATAAGCAATGACCAGCAAGATGTAAAATAAAGAGAACTAAAGCCAAATTTTAAGAGCCAACATGCAAAGAAAAAAATAAATCTTATCTCTTTTTTGTTTTAAGTGCCTATTAAGAAGAGCTCAGCAACAGAGCTGGGGTGGCCCTTGCCCTACCTGAGGGTAGATGCTGCAGAGGTGCTAAAATGGGACATGGGGAATATGGGGGCCACCCATGCCCTCTTCATCTCCGAATCTCCGAGACAGAAAATGCTCTCTGGAGCCTGAACTGCTGAAGAGCAGATGCTCGGGGGGTGGAAAAATACCAAGTTTATTTGCTAAGAAGAAGCTAAACACTAAGGTCAGCTCCCACGTGGCTGTAGTTTTTCCTCAAAGTTCTCAGTAGAGAAACAGTTGGACACAAATGAGCTGTCGTGCAGCCCAGCCACCACTTGTGTCTTCTGCACATGCTCTCAGTGCGTGTCTGTGGTGAACTACTGCATGAAGATGGGGCTGACATTATCTGCTGAGACCTACAGAAAAGCCTTCCGAGGCTGTAAGTGCGTGCTGGCAAAGCACAGCCACAAATTACAAAATGGTCACCAACCCTTCAAACGGCACAGATGGAGACATTGTCCTCCACATGCCAGAAATGCTATTAGAAGCCTGGAAATGCTTCTATCTGAAAGGAGATTAAAAAGATTGCAGTTGTTTTCATTGGAAAGATAATAGCTAGAAGAGATCATGATAGCAACATTTATATGGATAACGACCACACGCACATTTAGAAGAGAAACAAAAGATGTACTAAATACTCCAAGGCCTGGATGAGCCAGAAACCGCTCTGAATGAGGGAGGAAAATACTTCTGGTGAGCGAGTACTCTGCAACTGCCCGTCTTGGGTTTCCTCTGCCTTCTCTGGAAATGTCTTATCCTGGCTACTGCTGGGAAGCGCAGCCCCCCCCGGGGTCTGCCGGGCTGCTCTGGCGATGCTTTGTTAGGGTGGGCCAGTCACCGCATTTTTAAATTCGATGCAAATATGTTGCATGTCAAACAAAAATGGTACATCTAAGGTGTCCAGCTGTGGGAATACTGAAAATCCCAGCCTCCCTACCCCGTTTAACTACTCCCAGAGGCTATTTAAATCTCAACCACGTGAGAAGAATTTAATAGTTTTTATTGTTATTTTAAAGCATTGCTTCTCCCCATTCACACTCCTTTGCATCCCTGTTTTTCCTGTGTGTGAACTCAACAGTTGTGATAGTGTTTGTGCCTCGGAGCCTTTGAAATGAACTGGTTAAGAGCAGGTGAGATTCCCGGTGTGGAGGTACATGGGGCCCTGCTTCAGCTGGGTGAGCTGAGCTGAGCTGCCAGCTCCCTGCTCCCTTCGGCACTGCTGGCACCGTGCTGGATGGAGCTCGGCAAACATAGCTGTCTGCGGGCAGCCGGTATCCTAGGAACTCCTAGCACGGGAACCTGAGCTGAAACTCTGAAAGCTCTGTGCAACACTTGACCATCGCTGCCTCCTCTGCGTGAAGGCTGTTTCGTACAGTCGAGCAGGTCGCCGTAAAACTTGCTATGTCCTGCTCGGTCTCTCCCAAACAGGGAATTTAATCTGTTTCCCATAAGTTAAGGCACAGTTTTTAAGCTAGGAAAGAACTTTGCTCAGCAGAAAAATCTGGCTCTATTAGCACAAGTGGCCAACATGGGGGTTTGTTTCCTTAAAATGGTCATCACAATGCCTACAGCTCAAGCTGGTCCCTAAAATATTATATTTTGTGTGTGTGTGTGTGTGTGCATGTGTGAATGTGCTCTGGCACGCTCAAGGACAATTTTTTCATCAGCTAACTGTCCAGTTCCCAGTGCCGTGTTTTTAATTCCCTCCTGAGTATCTGCCTACTAATTAGGTTGCTGTGATACTCTGGTTGTTAGAAGAGAGGAGGAATCATTCCTGATAGAAATTAAATAGATAATGCACTAGCAACAGAAAAGAGCTTAAAAGGAGATGCCTCTGTGTGGAAGAAGAAACACTAAACTATTTACACCAAGAACACAGCTGGATACGTTAAAAATTCCCAGGCAGTGGCTCAGGCATTTATGTTTCAATAACTAATAGCCTGGACATTTCCTGTTAATACTGTACTGCAACCACAGTTTGCTTTGGTTTGGATATTAATAATAAATATATACCATATATTTTACTTTAATTGTAACTTGTATGATTCAGTAAATTTGCAGGTCCTTTTGGGGCCTTTTAATATATATCTGTGCCCATATATAGCTACATAGAGAGATATAAAATAAATACTCTTACATACATGTAAAAAAATCCTTATCCTTCCTTAATTCATTAAATTGAGGGCTCCTGGCTATACTGAATATTTCTGTTCAGGAGCATAAATCTTTTTGCTATCTCCTTAACCTTGTGACAAGGTAAGAAGAAGCAACAGTTGTTACAGATCACTTGCACTGATGCAGTCTGACTGTTGGTAACAGTCTACTGTGTCTTACAGGGATGCTTGAGGGTAAAGCACTTAGTAACTCAAACAACAAATTAACCCACTGCAAGGCTTTTACTAACTACTCTGTTATCAGAAACTGTATGTCCCTTGTGTGAAAGGTAACCCATTAACCATGCGTTTACCTCATTCCTAGCCATTATCTGCTGCAGACACTAAGGAAGTTCCCATCAAGTCCCCTCTGGATCTAGATTTCCAGTTGCCCACCAATGAAACTGCTATTGCTAAACCCCTTGCTGTGTGTAGTATATGCGGCAAGTAGGAAAGCTTTTTCACCTGAAGATTCATTGTGGTGACTTCAGACCCAATGACAGGAGGTGCTTCTCAGTCCCTCTCATACAGAGAGTCCCTCTCATGCACCAGAAGTCTCTACTCCCTGCACGTGTTGACTGGTTTTGAGCTTACAGTATCTTTGGGGAACAGCACTGCTGTAGGAATAATGTGCAACTTTCTTGAGCAGTGATAATAACAGAAAGGGAACTCTACAGTTAGATGCAGTAAGAGTCTATTTACTAATGACCAAATATTGCATAGTGGTAGAGCCAGAAGAGCGATATTCAGTTCTGATGCATCAAGTTATCGCGGGAGTTACAAACAGCTGAAGATATACTAGAATAGTAAGACAGGGTTTTCTTACAAAGCAAAACTGCCAAAACTAGAAGCACGCCAATGAGAGAAGAGCATTTAAAATGCACTTTTGTAGATTACAAAGGTGCA